TATTTAATCAATGCTGTCCGCTTCTAGTTTGTAATGAGTCAAGAGTCTAAAAAGCTTTGGATTCTTCTTTTGGTCTAATAAAATAAGATTTATTTGTATTACTTTACTAACTCAGAGATCACAAAACTCAAATAGGATTGGACCATATAGAAAAAGAAGTACAAATAAATAAATATAAAACGACATCGGATTAAAGTCCATAAGCTAATGGGTTGGTGAAGTTTGGAAGTGTGAACCATGGTTTTGGTATTGATATAGAAAAACATATTTGAATCTTATGGATTATTAAATTTGGAATCCTACAAATCATTAAACTTAAATGCTAAAAACATTTGTAAATAAATTTAATATGGTTCCGAATATTACATAAGATGTGATTAAGTCATCATTAACGGTTAAATATTTGGAACTTATTGACTGGCTAAGTCAATGCACTGCAGAAATGAAGATATTGTGCTTGCTTTTTTTAATAAAAAAAATGAAAAATGGGGTTGTTCATCATAACACGAGACAACTCACTCACCAAGTGGTCCACGGCAATATACACTTAGTCCTAGCCGAGCATTAAGCAATTATATATTAATTTATTTAAATTACATCTATTTAAATACTTTTTATTTGAGTCATGAGAGTTTTTAAATTTGAAATTTAGCATAATATTTAAAAAGTATTTGAGTAATTAAAAAAATTTAAATAAATTTTTATTTTTTATTACAATTGATAAAAGTATTGTATTTTTATGTTATATTAAATAAATTTTTATAATTAGTGATTGATTAATAATTATTAATTAAAATATCATTTATCATTATATATCATATTAAATAAATAAAAATATAGTATAATAATATAATCATGTGATTTTTTTATTATTTACGTTAACATCACATTAACATTACGTGAACATAAAATAATAAATAATATTTTAATTAATATCAATTAATTAACCGTTAGATATAAAAATTCAATTAACCTTAAATAAAAATATAATAGTTTGATTGAAAATAATAAAATGTTAAGAATTTTTTTAATTTTTTTTAAAGTTCAACTATTTTTTCAAATATTATGTTTTGAAATTAAAAAAAAAAGAAAAAAATAATAGTGTGTATAAATTATACGAAGCTTAAGAAAATAAATTTTATATATTTATTTTGATTTTTGTAATTTTATAAGTTTATCAATTTTTTTTCATTTTTACTTTTTTTTTTAAATTTCAAGTGTTCTATTTTTGAGTTACGTGTTTGATATTCAAAGAATTAGAATATATTCCATTCCTTTATTTGCCCCACAAAGAGTGCGGAATTAGTCATAGTCCAGCAGTATATGAGATGGCATAAATTCATCTAGAATGGGAAAAAAACGCGTTCATTACCACACCAATTCAAATGCTTAATTCAACATCTTGATTTATTGAGTCAGTTAACAAGTTTACACCAAGATTCCTTCTTTTCTGACTTGTTATGTTTCAATGCAAACATGAACTAATGCCATTTCCATTTGGGTGGTGTAGGCTTACCTATTACCATTCTTTTTTCCTAAATAGTAATGGAACAATGTAAAATTTAATTTCAAAAATTGGATTAATTCAATTGATAATTTCCTTGCTTAATTGTCTCGAATTGAAATTTTTTCGTGTCAATATAGAAATGAGTGCAAAATTAAATATTTCAAGAATTGAAGGTGGGGATAAGAGCCTTCAGATCCGAATTCAATTTGGGTTGGGGGGGGTGGGGAAATGATTCGGTGTGGTCAACATAAACGTACGTGAAATAAGTCCAAGGGTTAAATTGCTTTCAAGGCAGAAAAGATAGTGAAGTGGGGGTATGTGGGAGCATCAACGTCACAATCACTGCTGATTAGTCGTCGTTAAAATGTGGGTCTCCATCTATCTGTCATTGCTCAAAAGATCTCCGCCAACACATGATAAGGACCGTGGAACCTCCCCTTTTCTTAACCCCACCAGCCCATATTTGGCTTCTTCCAAACTTTTCAACTAAATTCATATATAATTCCTTTTTCTTCTCCCCTTCTCATTTCAATTCAATCCAATCCAATCCAATCAAATGCTTTGCAATTGATTATGGTACTTTAAACTACAACAACATCCTTAAAAAATTGGAGGTTATAGCAGCTTTAGCACATGATGAGGATTCCTTTCAATAATTGAGTTATTAAATAAGATGCTAACAAATATTGGCATTTTTGGATTAAATGATGATACGTTGTTATTGCTAAAGTTAAGACAAAAAACCATGCTCTAGCAGTTAGCCTTTTTGTCTCGATAAAAGGCTGAAGGTGAAGTGTAATGTCGCACGGAATCCTGTTTCCTGACAATAAACTTAAGTCTACATTTGCGAACTGCTTGCCGATTTTTAATATATGAAATAAGCTTATAAAATGAAAATAATAGAGATTTTGCCTTTGTCCACAGTCCAGGAAAAGCAAAGAAATTAGCATCAATCATGGCGATGAGACCCGAAATCTGCAGTCGTTGACACAAATACAGCTGTACGTTACAGCTTATTCTTGTTCAATATAAGTTCTTTTAAGTTGTGGCGTCTACGTCTAAATTGAAAAATGGGACAAGAAAAACATTTGCATTCTCACTAATCAAATCGAAACCCTGATGTTTCCACAGCATTTAGGTTGGGTTTAGTCACAAAATGTGGGTTTTATTGTAGTTTTCAGCTATGTTTGTTGCGCTTTGCAATATGCTAATTGTAAACATAATTTGTTTCACATTCTTTAAGATGTATATAAGAAGATGAGCAAGCTTCGGGTAAACATATCAACAGATACGACCATCTCTTTCATGGCATCACTGCCCCTATTGTAGATCCGTCTCTGATTAAACTATGATCTCTTTGATTAGCTTACTGGGGTCAGCTCATGGTTTGGCTTCAAGAAGAATGGAAGAGTATGGGGCCACGTCGTAGGTGCTCCCGATTCCTGGGACTCCTTCACAGACAAAGTCATCAGGAGAGGCAAGATGGGTGTCCACCTGCAAATTTTAACAAAGGATTAGTGACCTCAGATTCAGATTTAAGTTATTTACTATGACTAACACAAGACAGATGCAAAATCAACAGTAACACCAATCAAACCATTAATCCAAGCAGCTGTGTATAACTTTATAAAAATCCAGTTACTCATAAATTCATAATCAACTCATTGTAGGAATAATAGTTCTAATAAAATCTTCATTTCCAATGAACAAGTTTGAATCAAGCGTCAATACCTTCCTAAACCCCAAAATTACTCGTGAGGATAAGTTTTCTTGGACTAAAGAATCAGCAGGAATAACACTTTCAGAATTAGTGCAGAATACTCAATAAGCATGACTTTAGTTTTTAAAAGTAGTCAATCAGGTTCAAAGCATCAGAGGGTAAAGTCAGTAGGCAGCATCGAGTGAGATCTTGTTTTCATTTATCTCCAAAGACTTGAATAATAATAATAATAAATTGAGGGTGATAATGCACTAAATGAATAAAAAATAATTACTACAGTGCGATGCGAATTAAATTGAGCAACTTATTGGTATAATGATCAACAATGCAATTCATGCATAAAAAGTGAATAAACATCCATTAATTCTAATATGGACCAGGCTTAGAAAACAAAATATGGTACTTTATATGTGACATCTGTTAAAAATGTTTTAGCAACAAAATAAGACACACTGAATGACAAACAGATAAATTCAATACGTGAATAGCATGTTTTATTGTTTATGAGGGATACAGAAGTAGCCATAGAAACCGCACTTGTGGATCATAGATATCTAAAAGACTGCCCAGTTAAATAGAAGTGGCGGAAACATCAGCAGTTCTACAACAAACAGGGATAGAAGAAATGAAACATAAAACTAACCACACGGCACCACTGCCTCCTTTGTGGTGGTGGAGGTATAGAAACTTTAACACAATAGTCATGAGCATTGAATGCCAGATAGATATCTCCACCACTGTTGTCATGAAGTCTGCAAAATAAATTAATTTAGCAGAAGAGCTCATGGGAAATGCATTGGTATGATGAGTAAAAACTAACAATAAAATAGATCAAGCGCGCGCACACATGAAAGCAAAACAGGCACAATGGAACAAGCCCTTATTTAAATTAAAACGACACCAATCGCATCCAAGAATTTCGGAACATGGAATTTATATAAGCACATGATAAAGCAACAAAAAATGTGGTTTCCAACAGTACAATCCATTCAAAGAAGCCAGAAGTTAATATAACAAGGAAGATACTGTATAGCAAAGGGATCACTATACTCAAAGCAAGATTGATTTAAGGAATATCAACAACCTACGAAGAATTATGTAATAACTTACGTAAATGCAAGGAATTTGCTGTCAGGATTGTCCCAGTTATCTTCATGCCATGTCACATCACCCTGCACGATAAAAGCACTGCTTTAGCTCCAGAGAAAGTGAACACCTAACATAGTTTCTTCAAGACAGATGTAAAGAGATGTACTTTGCTGAGAAAATTTTCATGACGAAACACTTGATGCGTTCGCCGAAATTTTATCACCTCTGAGAAAAACCTAAAGTGATCACTCTTCCTTGCATCTAACTGTTTTAACAGAAAGAATATCATCAACCAATTACTATATGGATTAAAGTTGTCAAAACACTGATAAAAACTTACCTGCTGCCATTGGAAATTATTAATAGCAGTATCATGCCCATAACTGTTGTTATTCCCATATCGTGTATGCCCATATTCATCACCCATTAGCATCATTGGTGTTCCCTGATTATGATGCACTCAAAGATTATACTAACATTTTTCACAAGTCAAGTGGCATTATAAAGCAAAAAATTGAAATCCAACAGCATAAATCAACAGTGCTTTAGCCCTAAATGGATAGACCATGATAAAACAGAGAGAGGGGGAGTTGAAGAGGACAAGTCTTGGAACTGTTTACTGACTATTACCATTGTGGAAGACATGTACTATAGTTAGCTAGAACAAATAAAAGAATAAAAGAAAGATAACTAAACTTCTGGAAATCTGTAATATCATTAGTTTAAAAGAGTTTAACCCTGCTTCATACAAACTGAAAAGAAAGTTGCTCATTGGGCTCTTAACAAGTCAAAAACTTTTTTTTTAAAAATATTATCAGGCATATGATGCAGAAAATGGCTTTCTAATATCTTTACCTGTGATATCATCAGTGCCAAATGGAAGTTTTTCATTTGCCGGAAGCGCAAGGCTTTAATATCAGCATTATCAGTTTCTCCTGTCCAATAAATACAGAAAATGAGGATTTAGAAATGGAACAAAATTTTTATAAAATGCTACCTCAATTAACATATTCTCGTACAAATGCCATAGTTCTAGAACTGGAGATACAAACCATGAGAAAATTAAAATGAAAGGAAAACGTTGAATGAACATAAGTTTTCAAGGACAATACGAATATGAGTGATGATGTATAATACACTGATTCGTGTATAACCAGTAGAAACTAACAAGACAAGTTGGGTTGTTTGCCCTTCTTCTGCTATTATGAATAAGCAGACAGAGTAGCATGCCCACAAAAGATCACTATTAAATTCCTTGTACTGGTTAATGAAGAAAATCTTGTTAATATGAGATTTGTAACTACAGTTTAACACATTCTATGCATTTAAAGATGCTCACCACACAAATAATGGGATCAGCCGATTATAATAGTTTATTTGTCACAACGTGAAAGATTCATAAACCAGGCTTTTAGGCCTAGGCACCCATGAATGGAAAATTAAAAATGAAAGCAAAGATGATGCAACAATTTAACATTAATTAAATCTTCAAGACATCACAGAAAAATGATGTTCAAATCTCATGAAGCAGTGGATAGGTGAATTAAATACTAGAACCACATCATGAGAAGCAAATTCTTAAATGTAACTGATCATTGTTCAAGGCTATGGAGTTTTATCTTTGCCCTTTAGTCCAAAAATATATCAATGAATGATAATTTTATACATCAATGAGCAAGGTGCTTATTATTAATGGCATAATACTAGTGTTACTCAATACAAGCTTTATGCTCATAGATAATCCACAGCTATCACATGCATAAACAAAGATTAGCTAACATTTTCAAAGAGAAAAAACTTTTTACATGCCTTCAAAGCCACAATTCCAGCTAAAATTGTCATTACTTCCATCATTTCCACCTTCTCCATTGGCTTTATTGTGCTGTCAAAACAACAATAACTTGAAATACTGCATTCTCTTGGAACCACTCAAACTTAAATCAGTAACATGAACATTGATATACCTTAAAATTGTAAGAAACAAGATCGTAGATTGTGAACCCATCATGTGCAAGGACAAAATTAACGCTATGATAAGGCTTGCGTTTGTTTACCTGTAAAATGAGCCAAAAGTATGATTTACAACAATGAAAGGTAGAAGAAGGTGAAAGTAAACAGATGACTTTAAAGTAGTCTATAACAGTAGCATTTACATCTACAGCTAAAAAATACAACATACTAAAAACTACTACAAAAACAAAACACCAAATATGACCTGTTAATTAACTAAATACTATCAATTAGAATAGAGCTCATATAAAAGCAAAAAGTAATTTAATATAACGTCTTAAATAATTTAATTCTTCAAGCAATTTGTGTTTGTCCTGCATTATTTTGTTGTAAAGATACTGACCAAGACCAAAGTGTACGACATCAACTTCAAAAATTGAAAATTTACTAAAAAATTGTGGCCATAAGTACTGCTTAGCATTTTTCATCTACATGATCCAAATTTGTAATTATTAATTTTTACACGAGAATTTGAGAATGGAAAACACATATATTAGTTACACAACTATGATTTTCATCAGATATCTAACAGTTACATTGCTAATTTACAATCATCAATTTCATGACACAACTGACACTTACCCCGTAGAGGTCAGCAGATCCAGCGACACGAGTTGCAAATGCTCCTTTCATACCAGGATCACCCTAAGTCAAGGGAAGTTCATAATTAGATTCCCAATAGGGATCACGATATTCCAAATAGCACTGCTCCTGTGATATCACCAATGTAAAAATAATATAGCTAAAATACTTTTAAGTTTTAAGAATAGCCAATCACTCAATCTTTTAGGTGAGAGCGGAAGATCCCTTTCAATCACAATCTATGAGTCAATCTTCTCTTAGTTTTCCATTACCTCCATGTTCAGTCTGAAGCCACATCTATACCAATGTGAATTACTTGTAGACTCATCTAATTAAATATTTGTTACATATGGTGTTACCTTTATAAATCTTCTTAAATCATCACGGTACTTTCCATTCCACTCAGCCCACCTGCACAATAGAAATTTTTTTAGTGTTAGAGAAAAGATGCCCTCTGTTCTTAGAACAGAAAGTTTTCCAGAAAGAATTTGCCTAAAGTAGAAAGCCCAAAATAAAGACATCAAATTAATCAAAAAATCATGCTAGTAGGAAATACTCAGCGGTGACTCCAGACATGTAAAACCAAGAACTGCAACCAATAATATTAATCATTTCAAAATATTTTTATTTGAGATATTGTAATCAAGAAAATTAAGTTATAAATTAGAAAAGAAAACAGGCGATGCTGTCCTCGCTGCATCCACAATAGCAAATAATTTAGAAATCTTATATAGACGTAAGAAAGTAGGGAAAATGCCAAAAATCAAATTGTATGTATCTTTCTTAAGGTTTCAAAAGTAACAGAAACCTCACTTGAGGTTTCCACAACTAGATTTACTGCTCACTAAGGATGTTAGTGTCACATTTTTTCAGGTAACAACGACTGCAACAACAATAAGGTTATGGATTATTTGAAAATAAAATAGCAAGGAAGTGCTCTCAACTAATGGCTGGCCTTTGTAAGCTCTAAACAGTCTAGTTCCTTAAAGAAATAGAATTAAATACAAATATTTTTGAAACTAATTACCTGTCCCAATTAGGAAAACTACCAACAAGATAGAGTCCTCCACAATCCCAAGGTTCAGCAATAATTTTGCACCTTGATAGGATAGCATCTTTGGCAATTGCCTGGTTCATTGACAAAATGAGACAACAAGTGACAACAACAATATGCAACTTAAGATTTTTCAAAGCACTCACCACAAAAATGGTGGAGGTCAAAATTCTTAAGAACCAAACAAATTGAGAGCTCAACTGAAGCAACATTGCTTTTGAATGTAAGCCAACTATGCAACCAATGACATATTTATTTTGGAAACTCAATTTACAACATAATTCAAATTAACATCTCAGAAGAAATGGAGTCAAGCTTGTACTTCAAAAAAGAAAAGGAATGCATTTCCTCTTTTCTAAGAGAAACTTCCACACATTAGCACAAATAACCAGCACTGCGCTAGTGATAATAATTTAGCATACGAGATAAACCTAATGACCAATGTCCTCAATAGTTCTGGCTGTCAAACTCTAACAGTTTTTTATCTAGATATTCTACCATGTTATGTCAAAAGGGTCTTTAAATCTCCATACTTTTCATAAGAAGGATATGCTGCATTCAGACAATGAATAGTCAAAAAGCATTTAAATGACGTACCCTAATAAGTGGAGGAGCATTTAGAGGAGAACCATCTGTTCCTCGACAGAGCACACTAGCAAGGTCAAATCGGAATCCATCTATGTGATATTCGACAACCCTACATTTGGTAACAGCAAAGAATAAAAAACATGTCGATCAATAAACACTTGTTGGTTTCACCAAATATTAGCTATTTTTGGCATCCAGCAAGGAACTCTTGAAAACGAGCATTTTAATAAGAAGAATGTCAACTTCAACTTTGTGGTTGAAAAATAATACACACACATAAGTAACATAAATGATATGTGGAACATTATGCTCCAGGTGTAATAAGTATGTTGGCAAACTTAAATTCAGATTATCCAAGTTATCAACAGTGTTTCATAATACAGCTGAGTTTTTCTGCTTTGCCTCTTGAGTTGAACTTCATATAACTGTTTTATACGCGAAGCCCGTGTAAAGTTTCTTGAGTTACTAATCCCATCAAAAGCAAAAATAAAGCAGCACTACATTTCAAATTATTTGTATACAAAACAATCAAAAAAGAGGATTTACAATTTACCAAACATTTTCAAATTCTTTTCAGAGTGAAAAGAAAATTCCATATTGTTAGCAGCAAAAGCCATGAGTTCCTACGGGATTTGTGTCCATACCAGTGTTTTAAGCTGTCAAGTATGAGTTCCATGACAACAGGATGATTGCAGTGTAATGTATTCCCTGAAGAACATCAAATATTGCATCTGAAAGAGCTTTATATATGATAGTTGAAATTCTGAATCTTTGTCATATAGAAGATAGATTCAAAATTCAGCCTGCTTCAGACTCTCTAAACTACTTACGTAAGACGAATTTCTAAACTTCACAGCCACCAACTCAAGATCAAAAGTACCAGAAAGAGGAAGATAGATTCAAACCTCATGCCTGAGCCAAATCACAATACTTATGCAAGATGAATTTCTAAACTTCAAAGGCATCAACTCAAGTGATCAGAAACACCAGTATTGAGAAAATTTAAATCTTTATCATAGAGAAGAAAAATTCAAAAGTCATGCCCAGGTCAGATTTCAGCACAATACTTATCCAAGATGCAAGATCTTGACTTCACTGGAATCAAGACAAGAGATCAGAAGCATAAAACATTGAAAGTTGAAAGAAAGCTGCTAAATTCTTAACTAGACCTAATTACAGTAGCAACTCAATCTCTATATAAAAAGTGAGGGCTCAGATTGGCAAACAACTGTCTCATACCACTGCTACTTCCTCCTAAGTTACTTCCCAGTTGTTTCACATATCTATGCAGATTCAATTTTTAGTTTCTTCATAAATTCCAGTGATCAAAGATGGAGATATCTTTATAATTTAATTATCAAGGCAGGCAGAAATCATGTGAACAGCTGTGTCAGACCTGAATAGAGAAAATATAAGGTTCTGAGAAGCAAGTTATCAAACAAAATAATCACAATATGATAACAAGAGACTTGCAATGAGTTACTTTTACATGTCTAAAAGGGAATAAATTTGTTAGCTAAGGCAGTCGTGAGAGTTAGCCATTGTACATTTAGAAAAAAATAATTGAATAAATTCCTCAGAAAGATAGGAAAAAAGAGCCAAGTTGAGCACTTGAATTACCACAGCCAGAAAAGTTTAGCAGTTGGCCTTTGTTGTTTAAGTCCACCATGTAATAAACCTGCAAATGAAGTAGTATCAATGTGAATGTCTGTGAGGCAAGTATATTACATCAATCAGACATTTAAGAATGAGGAAAATGATTTATAAAAACTGAAGAGCCAAAACACCTTATCATCATGTCGGGGAAAAACGAAAAAAATTTCACCTTGTTGTCTATGCCACGAAATGAAGTGGTATAAGGATGTTCATCATCAGCTTCATTGGTGTGATTGTAGACAACATCCAAGATGACCTACAAAAATAAAATGCTTAACCAACACCATAATATGCATATTTCATACTTCCAATGAAACAACAAGAATGAAATTACCACCAACTATAAATTATGTACTCTACTAACCATAGGCACAAAAGACATTTACCTCAATTCCAGCCCCATGGAAGGCTTTAACCATTTCTTTGAACTCCCAAGAAGCACTAACAGCTCCTCCACCACCACTAGTATAACGACTCATAGGAGCAAAGAAATTTATTGTTGAGTAACCCCATGTATTGATCTCAGAAAAGGAACAAACAGGAGTTTTAGTATTCTTAAATTTTCACTGCAAATTAAAGCACAAAGAAATATATCCAAACAGCAGAATCACCCACCATTCAACTTACGTATATAGCTGCATTTTTAAGTTAGTTTTTAGTGGGCCTATAGTAACAGAGTAGGAGTGATAAATGTAACCAACTAACCACGGTTAACTTGCTCCAATACAGCAATATAAATGAACAAGGGAAATCAAAAGGCATTAAAAGAAAAAAGGAAAAAGCCTTGTTGTTAAAAAGACCTTGCACCCCAGCAACAGTTATGGCTTTCAAAGAGTTCCAGTCAAAATTTGAACACATTTTATTTCAGTCACCAACAAGAGTACCCTAAAAGACCTTGGTCCAAGAAAATCAATCAGATATTTGGTTTAGTGAGGACTAAGAATTTCCCAATAATATATACTTTTCGGATATCCAAGTGGAAGGGATTGTTATGTGGGAATTTCTGTGAACACACTGCTAAATTCTGTTATTAATGGGCTTGGCAATTGGCATTTCATCGAGTAGTAAGAATCCTATGAACACAATCCACAAATTGGTATCAACTACTTCAAAACTATGAATAATGCCTACAAGTTTCCAAGTTCAGTTCAGTGACAAATATATACTGATTTATAAATGATGAACAAAAATGAGCAACACTAAAAAAGAGCAGTGGAGCATTCACCAAAATAGTCACATTGTATACGTTCGAAGACCAAAAAGTAGTCAACAGTTTTTTCTTTAAAACAAAAAACCAACTGCATTTGATTAGATGATACATTAAACATTAAAATGATAAAGCAGATAAAGTAAAGATTCTAGTTACCATGTGATCTCTGGGATTGGGACGCCTTTGAAACTCAAACTCATCAAACTCAAAGACAGGCAGCAACTCCACTGCATTGATTCCAAGTTCTAGAAGGTGTGGGATCTTCAAAAATATTTATAAAAAGGAAATTGTCAGATATATGTAATACATGAAAAGAGTCCAATAGTCACATTTTCTACAGACCAAAATATGTGACTAATGCTTCCAATAGTCACTCCAGTAGACTATTGCTTCCATTAAAAACAAAAGAGTGACTTGAGAAAAATTTCCTTTAGCATGCTGATGGTAGTATGGATACGTATAGCACATCCCAGTTCTCAAAAGATAACAACATAATATTTTGCTGCATTTTCCTTGATAACTCCCATGCTTTTTTGTGCAGAGATTATCTTTGGTAAGATTGCTCGGGACAAATAATTTCTTTGCACAAAAAGTTGGACTTCATTAAAGGAAGAAAGCATCAAATGCCACAGGCATTGCAAATCCTTCCTTCCCGGATGCACTGACCCTAATGCCCATGCCTTATACCAAAATCTACATTTGTGTCAATGCTCATATCTATGCCCATATTGTTCAAATGTTGGCTATAAGTCATGACAGATAAGATTGAATACATACACAAACATGCCCTAGATATAATAAATTTCAAACTAAAAGCACTGTTAAGTCTAGTAATTGATCTATTATTCAAAAAACAATTTGTTAGAATGTGATTGTGCGTAATGCAAGAAATTATTACCTTCTCAATCAGACCAGCGTAGGTTCCACGTAGATTTGGATCCAAGCAACTAGATTCATCAGCTGTAAATGCACGAACATTCATTTCATACATAACAAGATCTTTCTGCAAAGACAATGGCAAGGGTCATAGATGTTGAGCTGCTGGAATATTCATTGAAGAGATGACACAAACTCAAAAGACTTTGACTGTAAAGAAAGCTGTAGCATTTGAGGATTACTTAATATCTGGAATAAATGCGTGGGATGCATACATAAGAAATAAGAGATGAATTTAGTTCAGAGGACACATCAAAGCAAAGATGCAACATATGACAAAGAAAAGAATAAATGAGTGACTGATCAATCCAATGGGAGAATTTGTACAAAAACAAACTATCCTGCCCATACCTCAGGTATGTTTGGGAGATTGTAGTTGTCTCCCCAATCAAAAGGCAAGCTATCAAAATCGTAAGTTCCAAGAAATTTTGATAATTTATGCTTTGCATCTCCAAAATGTCGACGACCTTCTACTAGCTTTGCATAAGGATCTATAAGCACGTTGCTGCTGTCAAATCGATGCCCTGTGTCCCAATCCTTGGGACCAGCCATGCGATAACCATAGAGGACATTGCTCCGGGGCAAATCCTACGTTAAGAGAGTCATGTCAATGGTGCAAACATACTACATCACGGCTAGAGAACTAAGCAGTTGCTTCAGCTGTTGAATGTATACATAGGGAAGACAATGTAATAAGAGAACTTGACGCTAATTCAGAAACCAAGAAATTGATTCAAACATCATTATAGAAATACCACCTCAATGCATATGTGCCAAATGTCTCCAGTTTTGTTGACACGAGGGTCCAAGGAAAACTCAATCATGCTACCAGCCAGCCTGTCAAGCTCTCCCCTAAGATACATTATGCCGAAAAGAATCACTCTTCACCAACGATTATTAACAATAATCTGAAACTTTCTTTATATATATTGATAAATGCCTCAAATGTAAAGGAATAGGAAACATTTATATCCATTGCGCGCTAGTAGGCAACAAAAGAAGTTGTGTGACTAATGCAATATTTGGACATGGTTTTCTTTTTTCCTAACTTTCCAATTTTGATAAACAAGAAAGGCCAGTCATGAAAAGTCAAATGCGCACGTACAATAAAAATAAACAACATAAGGAAATACACATTAGTGGATGTTGAATTTACATAAGTTCACATTGTAATTAACTAAGCACAGATGAAATGAAGACAACAAGTCAAGTTAACCTTTTTTTTTTTTTTTGAAAATATGAATCAAGTTAACTTATCCCAAAAGAATAGGTACACAAAGATAATAATTTATAATATGAAAGGGAATGCACTGTCACCTCTGGGGAAGTGATAAGCAAAGTGTAACTGCAGTTGCATGCTGTGAAAAAATGGCAAAATTGATCCCGTTATCAACTTCTGATACACCTAATGGAAACGCCTGACCTGGGAAGATTTTAAATGATGGGATGGTTTCTGACATTTCGGGGGCTTCTTCCTGAAATTACAAACAATGGATACAATAGTGTGGATCAATGAAATATTGTTAGGCTACATATACTGCATCTTAGTCCAAACTAGTATCACATGTGCAAAAGAAGTGAGCATAAGATATATAAATAAGACGGTTGCTAACAGCAACATACCATTTTTGCAATTTAATATCAAGATGACATTTGGACACATCCATGCACCAGTCATAAATACATGAGCATGAGAAGCAGAAGAGTAGGGCCAACTGCATGCACCTCCTAAATAACTCCCCATTTCGATATTGTGGATGAAAATAATGAAGAATAAGAAGTTTAGGTGATTAAAATACCTCAAGAACACGTTCTCGTGCCTGGCGCCCATATACTTTAGTAGTTCTACGCTTGACACTGCTCCGTGCCTTGCAATATGCCAAAAAAACTCAATCATATTTCAATTTTTAAAAAAATGCAAAGTTCAGATAGGAAAGTCGATAATTATCACATAATTATAAGCATAGACATGCCTTACTTGAACGTCCTTGCCCACCGCTGCTACTCGATGCGTTTCTACTCCATTTCAATCTAGTGGTGTCACTATCAGAGGTCAATAAATTACCCAAACTCAAAGCTACAAAGGCATATATCAGGCATCCCATTTCAACACACACAATTTTCACCAGGTATCCTTAACAAGTTGCCAAAACATAATTTCTCCCAATTGAGACCTGATGACCGTTGAATAAGTTTCATCACTGATCTTACAAGGACTTGACATTATAAAAATTCAACCCATCTTTTCAAAAATATGGATTGAAGTTTCTCCTGTTTAGTTCCAAAATCTTCATTTGAAAACTAAAAACAGAAATAACCAAATTCTAGAAATAGTAATCATGCATAAAAGTTACATGGAAGTTATTTAAAAAGAAAAAAAAAAAAAGAGAGCATACCCCATTTGAAGAAGAGAAGAATTTCCACTGGAAGACGGGCTTGCATTTGTGGAAGCCAGGGAAGTGAACAAAGCAAAGTTGGTAGAGCTTGATTCGGATAAAAATGATGAGTTTAGCATCTTTCCCGTCTTTATTCTATTCTTTTCTTTTCCTTTTGGTAACAAAAAAGAATCAAGGCGTAGAATGAAGAACAAAGTTAATCCAAACTCCAAAAGAGAAGCCAAAAAGGATTCGAATATTCAGATATCAATAAAAGCGAAAAAGAGAGGTCGAAAGGTTGACTGTGAGATGCTAGGAACTTTGAAGTGAGGGCGTGAGACTCTTTTATTTCTCTGTAAATATATTTCGGGAGAATACTGATTAGCGTTTCGAGAGCGGCACGGAAGCGGGAATGCTCCCGTTCTGGTCTGCCACGTGAACGACGGTGCCAGGCTCTGGAGGAACTTTTACGTGACCGCACACGTGTTTTGTTCTTGCAAACTTTCTTAAGATGTCAATTCATTCGATTCATCGATTTGGATCTATCTTGGATCCTGGGTGATACTCTATAAAAAATATCTTTCATCATTGTGAGCGAAGGTCAGCCATGGCTTGGGTATGGCCCGATGAGGGGGATACCCAAGGCGCCGAACAGTTTAAATTTTAATTCTATTTCGAGATATTTTGACTGTCTTAATGGTTGATTGCTGCAATTTGAAGGGAATGTTTTAGTGCCACAATAAGAAATTGTGTATAGTATATTGTATAAAAATTAAAACAGTTGCAGGTATCTAAAATCTGAATCATGAGATGTGTGACTATGGTTGAAGTAATGTTTCTACCTAAAACTCTCCTTTGCAAACAATAAAGATTTTATTTGATGAGATTCTATTAGTAATTCATTTTGTAATCATGCGCTAGTGTCATGAGGTCACGTTTTCTTTTCATGTTTATAGATTCCATTTACGTAAAAATTTGAATATATTTTAATGCTTTTTATTGTGAACTCACGTTCTCACTTTAATAAATATACTTGTCAAACAAAATTACACTTCTATGTACATATTCAAAATCCATGTCATCTTTTATTGATGAGAAATCTGTGACACTAAACCTCTTGCTTCCAACATTGAGAATTTTTTCTAGTGAACATGACAAAATCGGATGATGCATATAAAGACGAAAAGAATTATACTAGTGTAGAACTTTATCCTGCCGAACACAACAAGAACATATTAACTGTCTGTATTCTGAGTAAATCCATAATCCTTGTATGTTTCTCTTGACCATAGTTTATAAGTAGCTTCGCTTGTAGCCAACTTTCTATTTCGCCCGCTACCACAGCCCCGTAGACCTGATGAAGGGATTCATGTCGATATGAATTAATGAGAGAGAGAGAGAGAGAGCAACTTTACACTAAAAATCCATGCCCCGTTTTCTCCGAATATGTTTGATGTAATTCATCTCTTCCCACAATGCAGTAGGGTTTCTCTTCCACATACAAGAGCTAGCAAGAAAATTTCAAATAAAAATCTATGCAACTTAAGCAGAAAGCTAGAACCGTATACAGTAAACCAAAAATGTCTCGTTTTTCCACATATGTATCATGAGCAAAACTTACTTTCTATCTTTGTTTGCAACCAATAAGCACCAAGAGAAGGGTTATATTTCAGTAATCAAATCTACTAGTCACAAACAAGGATTCCCCATTCTTTCAGAAGAAATGCTAACCCGCAACAATCCAGAAGCAGCCTTCAAGCAATATAGAGCATCTGCATTTATGCCAATAAAGATAATCAGCACTGGATCTCACTCATCCATGTTGGACAGCCCGGGGCTAGGATTTATAGCTGCCTTATAATCTAAAAATCATGAGAAAATAACAGGAAAATTTGTATAAACAAAAGTCCCTAAGCTTCATACCTAGGGTTCATTAATTGCATCACACAATGACAAAGAAAGAAAAACCTAAGCTTCAGACCTAAATTTCCGTTACCTTAGGAGTCGCACCTAAGGTTGATTGCATCACAGAGTTCACAATAGCAATAGTGCTAAAATATCTCTAATAATATTCTATGTTTCAATAAAAAGAGTACATTGATTTATACAGCCTCCAAGCAACGCTCATTCTATTAATTAGACACAAAATAAACATAAAACTAAGATCCAAAATACAAATATAAAACACCAAATTATCCCTAAATCCATAAATTTACCCATAGATACAACAAAGTAACAAGTTAATCCCTCAATTAACTTTGCATTCTGCAGCAGTCCTAGTCCTAAGGGCAGCCAAGTGGCTACTCATTAACACTGATGATCCAAAATAATTAGAAAGATACCTTTTAGGAAATGAACAGATTTACAAATCCAAGGAAACTAATAAATATCATATCATCAGAAAAAATCTTGATATTTACCTTTGATGTAATCGCTCACTCGCATCCATAGAATGACTTCAAAGATGAAGCAGATAACCAGAATAGCGTAGTATGAAGTACACAATAACTTCCATTGGTCAGTCTCTGGACAAATATTCTATTTACACTTCTCATACAAGATTCTATAAGACCTATTTAATTGCAAAGGATGTAGAGGCTGATGCTGCCTCTGCTATTAAGGAAATTGGTTGGCGAGCCTGCAGGCAAGCACCTATATCAAAGGGATGCAACTCAGCACCGTCAAAAAGAAGATTAACACCAGGAAGGATTATTTCTTTGCTGTCAGTTTCATCGGGATCAACTTTTGTTGCAGTTAATGGGGTGGAATCGTCAATTGGTCTTGTGGCAGCTTCATATACGGGAGTTAGGGCATATGATCTGCAGACATAATTTAACACTACAAATAAATAATAGACAAGCAAACACTGCAAAGAGAAAACAAAATTAAGAGAAAAAAATGAAAGTGAGTAGACTGATTTAACAGACCTAAGAATGCTACCATCGAAGCTCAAAACTTCAGTCCGACAACGCTGCCGGCTCGCAAGTTTTAATCTTTGATGCTCACTAGATGCTCCAGAAATGGGAGAAGAAGGGTCTAGCAGTGGATTCCATCTTCCACTAGCATAGTTCATTAGATGTTTCGATAACTCCTTTGAATGATCCTTTTGGTTCTCCTTTTGGTAAAGAAGTTTTGCTGCAGGACCTGTTGCTTGATACTCCGCACAAACATCACGTAACCTTTTACGTATGCTTTGCATTGAATCATGATGCTCAGTAAGTGAATCTGCTTGAAGTAACCGAGATGTGACTATCCTTTCACAAATATTATTGCATAATTTAGGGCTGAAAAGAGGCATCCCGAATTCAATACTTAATGGAACCCATTCATACTTCTCCTCATCGGGGGCAAAATGATCCGATTCTCTTTCTTTAAAAAGCTTTAATAAGCGAATGTAACCAACCGTCCATAACTCTATCTTGTGAGCCAAATCAGTCAACAAATCATTCAATTTCGAACATTCCTCTGCACATAGTCCCAGCTCATCCCCTACACAAGCAACTGAGCCATCAGAGTTCCTAAGGGGTAAAGGTATGTCCAGTGTAACAACTTTGCCAGAACCATCTAGGTCATATCTGCTGAAGGGCTGCACTATAACAGCAGAGCATTTGAGAAGAGAATTTAAACAGTGTAAAAGTACACTTCCCTTAACTAAATTTCCTTCAAACTTTCCACCTAAGCCTCCAATTGATGAACCATCCCAAGACCATAAAAGGGCTTTCTCACAACCAGCTAATGGTGCAGGCAACATGCGTAGACATTGTCCTTTCATCAGAACAACTGATAAAGGCCCACTAGCCACTGTTGAATATAGCACCAATTTCATCCACGGTGTCATCGATGAGTGAGAGGGAGGACCAAAATTAATGGGACCAGCTGGTCCAGGAAGAACAGATGAATATGGAAGAGGAATCATAGACACAACAATATCGTAGTCGCGAAGAAATAACCGATCTAAGGTTGTCTTTGGCAGTGCAGCCAAGCTTTCACAGCGGAGGATATCCACTCGATATTTCTTTTTCCTCCTTGAAGTTCCTTTTCCTATTTCAGGCCCTTCCATCTGTATCAGTTTATCATCATTCTGGACAATCAGATCTGACTTGGAATCCTCACTCTCGAGATTACCATCTTTTGATAGGGTAGCAGATCTATCATCACCAATCGTTTCAGGTACAGAGTCATCCCCAACAGAACCTTCCCGAGATATTTCTAAATTATTGGTATCATTAATCTTTTCTCCAGTTTCATTAGCAGATTGTTCTGATACATCAGTCAATGAAGTGTCAGCTACCAGAGTAGACTGATCGTGGACAGAAGCTGACACTCCCATTCTATCAGCAATTTCCACTGTTTTAGTGTCATTGGCAACTCCACCAGATAGTAGACATTCCAAGACACAGCGGAGACTAAATGCATGATTTGCAAATTCCTGCAACTCTCCCTCAAATTTTGTTCCCTCTAATGTGCTCAGGTCTTTGCAAAGATCTGCAATGCTAGCATGACCTAATTTCCCTGCTTCATATAATGTCACAGCATGAGATTTCAATCCTGCAAAACGCAGTAAGAGGACATATAAATTATGTCAGAGAAAAGGAAACAGTAAGTACACACAGATGGAATAAATTCAAAACCATAACAAATTATTATGCGAAATACTGGAACCTGTCTAATTATCAGCAGATGTAAAAATACAATGACTATAATATGTCTATGTTCCTCCCTCATGATACCACCACCATGGAATAACAAGGTAGCACCTGTTGGCCTAGCTTGGAACAACTTTTCTACTCTAGAAAGCTGAAGTTGGGCTGGATAAGGTTTTGAAAAAACAGCTTCTAAATATTAATAAAAGTTAAAAATGATCTTCTAGAGGCTACAAGTTAAAGCTCCAAACTAAAACTTCTAAGATCAGCAATAAGAAACCAATAGACAAACACAATAAAATTTAAAGCAGAGAAAAGACACTCTTAGCTAATTCATATAATGTCAATCTAACAAAACTTTTACAACGATTTCGGCAGGCAAAACAGGCGCTTAATGTGGTCATGTAATGCATAGAACAATTGGACTGCAATAATGAATCAATTTATGTGTTTTACTCTTTCTTCTATACATTAAGTGTCTGTCTATCTCACATATACAACTCTACATATGCACTAATAATTGATAAAAGAGAAACTCTTCTCTTAAAGGTTTTCATTGAGTATTGCCAATGCTACCAGTATTTGAATACTGATGTAGTACGTATAAGAATAGAAAAAGACAAATTGGCCTTACATACTAGCATCCAAACAAAACCTAAATGAAGAGGAAGATTCACATTAAGAAACAATAACAGTTAAATAATTCCATCTGAAGAGCTCCTACAAATATCAGGGTAAACAAACCAGTCAGGAGCAACCCAACATTATGGCCACCTCTGTACATCTTTACAGGCTATGATGCCTAATTAAAACTATGGCCTATTTTGTGTACAGCAACCAAAGCATACAATGCTCAAAACTCTAGTTCATTTCAAATTGTTATTTATGGGAATTTGAGCATCGTATCTAAATAGCAGGTATGCCGAGCTCAAATTTATTTTGTATTAATGGTTATGATGTCCAAC